CTACATGTGTTATGACTCTGGCACTTTTCTAAAGGGATAGCTGTTTTTTTTGCGATATGGGTAAAATTACAATCAAGAGGTGTAAGAATGCCTCATGGGCTCCTTGCGACGACACATCGCATTATGTGCATAGCCAGATTACACATTGTAATGTACAGAAGATAATCAAAAATTATCCATTTTTTTCAGTGAACATCGTGGCAATAAGCGTGCTGATAGAGGTCACGAAGGCTCCGGAAGAGGGCTATACTGCGACGATGACCCTGTGACGAGAGACAGACGTGCTGGGTTCGACAATTATGAAGAGCCAAGTTACCCGCCAAACAGGCGAAGCAACGATTTCGACAGAAACGAGCGTGATGGCGGCAGAGAAAATTGGGGTTTTGCGGATCGCAAACAAAATGATGACAGACGTTTTTCTCCGAATGACAACCGCGGTAGTGGATATGGTGGCCGCGGCAGAGGAGGTAGTAATGCCTCAGGTGGATATAGTCAGGAATATCGTCGTCGTGATGGTTTTGGATCATCTAAAGGCAATTTTGACCAAGACGATGAAGATGGAGAACCTGTTGGTGGTTTTGGAGGTTACAGGAGAGATGGTCAAAAAAGCACTGGATTGGTGACAGAGGGAGAGCCTCAACCACGTGCGCTTTCGACGATCGCAGTGATGATTTTGATAACCGTGGCAGGGACCGTGACAGAGGCAATGACGTTGGACGTTCTTTCTGGAAAACTACAGGAACGAGCGGCTTCGATCTTTTGAACGACCTTAAGACGAGGCACGTGGTTCGTTTCAACAACTCGCTCAAAGTGATACTGATGACTTTATTTTGGTGTGTAACGCGTATCGATAGTTCCTTCACTACCAAGATTCGCGGCAGGTTTTGGAGATAGGAACGACTCCGGCTCTTTTTCTGGAAGAGGTTAGCGCCTTCACTTTTTTTTTGCCCTAATCGGCCTTGATTCCAAGCTTTTTCCAATTCTTGAAGCAAAGTACGATTTCTTGGTCGTAATAACTTCGTATAGCATACATAAAGCGACCGGCCGCCGTGGTCGATTCATCTAAGAGTTGTGATAACGTATGCGGTCTCTACTTAGATTACAGTAATCCCAATTGTTCGGAGGACACCTTATAAATTTTTATTGGGGGGGTGGACGTATTGTCTAGCTCGTTCTAGTTATTTTCCCTGAACCACATATCATCACATTCAATTTTGAACTTCAGTTCATGGATACCGACCAGTGACACTGCAACAGAACCCGCCTCCCCCCCTCAAATAAACAATTCCCGATCTAATCGCACCTATCATTATGAGGATTTGTTTATTGGGCGGATGACAATTTTACGAAGGCGGATGTTGGGAACGAAAAGGTATTCGTGACAATGAATCGTGGTGCATGTCACAGGCGATGCTCCAGTCGAGCTGTCTTGATCGCCTATGTGCGACTGCGTGGTGAGGAAAGTGTTTCGAAGGAAAAAAAAATGGGGTGAGCTGTGGTGAAAGGAAACGATAAGGTCGAGATCGAAGGAGGAGAAGCTTACTCATAGTTAGTGGAAAGATAGGCAGATTCCTTAAAGGACGGGTTTTGATTGGAATGAAAGTCGATATGGCCGTAATTGCCTACTTCTAGTTGGTGGGACCGCGCGGACCCCCTCCAGGTGGTGGACTGTAAAACTGGCACCTTGAAAAGAAGTTGCCTTCGGTGACCTAGTATAGTGCTCCAACATCCCTTTTTTCGGCGCGGTTGTGCACGCTGCACTCGCCCAGCGGATCCCCTTCGCCGCCTCGCCACTCGCCGCAGGTCTATACGTGGCGAGTGATTAGATAGGTGAGAGAGCGTAGTGTTGAAGAGGGCACAGCGATGATAGTCGCATCAATGCTCAAATCAACGGGCAAGGAAGGGGTCCCATTTCTCGGGTTCTGGGCCGTTTCTCATGGTTCTTCCTTCTTTAGTGTACCACTCACCATCGCTAAGGTTAATTTGAAATGGGTTGCCTTTCCAGCGTGAATTCGTCCTTTAATTATGGTGCGGACCACATCGAATAAGTTTACAGCGAGGGAGGATGTACCTGGCGATCTGACACGGCCCTTCTTCCGCCGCGCTATCGCAGTACGTGCCCGCCGAAACTGGCTAACCACTCGTTGCACGTCTCTATCCAGTAGCAGAGAGCATAGCATTAAGCGAACGAGGAGGGCAATACTCAACCGCGATCGCATCCAGTTGAACATCGGTCTAGGATTCGTCGCCCGACTCTGTCGAGCGATTCTCGGCTGACCAGCCGCCCTTTCTTGCGCAGACAACGTGCGATTCGTCCGTGCTCTCTGCGCCTCATTTACTCGCGATACTATTCGCACACAGTACCTTACCAGGATCGAGGATTTTCGTAATTCATCACCCAATCCTCATCAGTGGCGGATGAAACAAGGATGGCCCGTTTCTCAGGTTCTGGGCTGTTTGTCATCGTTTTTCTTCATACCGGCACCACTGGCAGCCTTTGTTTTAATGGGCTGCCTTCTGATCGTATTCTCGGTCTTCAAGACGAGCCTGATTTATTATGAAGACTAAGTGCTTAGTGAAATGGCAAAATTGAATGTTAAGGGCGTGGACTGTGTTTTGAGACTGAATACGCAGTTCAATGAAGAGTTGAGGTTTCACAAGAATGCTGGTCGTGAACAAAACACTTTCCCCATCACTTCACTTTTTTTGTTTGATTTGAATGAAATGGTGCCCCGGTAGCGTAACTGGTAGCGCACTTGCCCGGAAAGCGAGAGGTGCGGGTTCTAGTCCCGCCTGGGGCGAAAGTTTTGTTCACAACCCAGCATTCTTGTGAAATTCGCAAGGCGAACTGCGGCCAAAAACAGCAGTTAACAATCAAAACAAGTCAAAAAGGGTGTTGAAAGGAAGCTAGAAAGAATTAAGAAGAAAATATGAGTTTCTTTCCGTTTCGCTGTTAAACGAGTTTTCTTTCAAAAATCTGTGTAAAGAAACCCCGAGAGTTCTTTAACCTAAATGAAACGCTCCACTAGGAGGACGCCATTCGGTGCAGGTGACCTCCCGGGCAGAGGAGGACGATTCGGTGGAGACAACTCAAACCGAGGTGGACGATTCGGCAAGGGTGGTTGTAAGCTATTTCAACGATTCATCAAAGATAATATTTTGAATGCAACAGTTTTTTGAAATGCAAAGCTCGCCACATGTTCTTCCACGACCGTTATTTGTTTTTGATGCGATGCTTTCGTGATGCTTGCAGTTCTGCGATTCCTTTAGGTGTCCATTGTTCCCTCATTGTCCGATATATCTCTCAACGCCTATCTAGGAAGTTATCGTCTCTATTCGAAAGAGGATATTGATGAGCATAATTCGATCTGTAGCCTGCTCACTTCAGATGACAGTTGTAGTTGTCCGACTAACAATAAGTTGAATGTACAAATGGTAGCATAGAGGCAGGTGGTACGTTGAAATGTTCGTGTTGGAAATGAAAATGGGGTGGTAAAGGTATATTGTTTGCGAAAAAAAGGGTCCAGCAGGTCGCGAAGTGGCGATGCGTTTTGTCCAATTTTTGAAGGGAGGTTTGCGCAATTCAACGAAATTACACCGCTTAACATATCTCATTTTAAGGAATCTTGCGCGGAAAAATCATGATTCTATTTCAGCCATAAATCACTGGCTTGAGACTCATTATCCACGATAATAGTGAAAAGAACTGAAGTATTGCTTTCGTTTTGATTAGAAATTCGAAAACTCGAAAAGGCTGCTACGCGTTCGAATTGCCCACGGACGTCTTTCACGAATGCTGGCGACGGGGATGCTCAAACTTGGTTCTTGGAGTGCATTCACTAGAAGCTCTTTCTGGCCTTCTGCTTCGTTGCATTCACATCTTACACTTCTACTCCATCCTATTCCATCGATCGATTTGTCTCCACTCTCCGAAATCGCGCGCTTTAACCCGATTCTCTCATTGCGTCGCCTGGTACGTAGCCGGCCAAACGCCGTCTTCTTTCCATGCCTCGCCTGGCTCTGCCTCCTGGTCCTTCGATGGTCCATAACGTGTAGTTTTTGTACGTTTGTTTCTCTTCAGAAACCGAATCTTCATGCGTGAAACTTTGTGTGCTATTTCCAGTGATCACAACTGACATATTCATGTTAGGAAAGAGTGCAAGAATTTTCCGCGCAAGATTCCTTTAAGCTTCTCTATCTTCGTATACATCTCTCAGGTCTCAACACTATAGCTGGTCTTCCGCCATTTGGTGACAGGGCTGCACCAGAAGCCACCGCAGGACGCTAAGCCTTGTTGCCAGGCCCTTTGCTGTGAACCCAGCTACTCTTCTCGTTCCTTTACTTGCTAGACACTTCTTCCTATTGGCACTGTCGCTCTACCACATGCTTCTAAAGCCATTTTTCGGGACTACTGGGATGTGCAAACCAATCTGAAATGCACGGCGAGTAGTTTGGCCCTTGCTGCGTCTCATGTGTGTTTTCTCCTGATTCGTGCGCTCGTGAGAATCTCCTTGTACGACTCCATTTTTCATCGTAGGCTTTATAATTTCACAAATGTTGCGAATAGATTTTGTTCCAAAAATGCTTATCGGTTTTTAAGGTACTTTTGAATTTTTATTGATTATTGGACGAGCTTCGATTTGCTTTTTCGTATTTAAATAACTTCTCTACCCACATCCTATCATCGTCAAATTGCCTGATACTTAAAAATGATTGTATAGGTACTTCAGCAGAATTCATCCTCTCGAAAGACGAACCTCTGAATAGAGCTGGAAAGAGGAGCCGCATTTCCGTTCTTATGACATCTGCTAGAGTAGTCCAAGTGTGACCGAAATTATTTAGTCCTCACATATCTTTAGCTTATTTCCATGCCATAGTTTGAGTCTGACCACGAATAGTTCGTTCCTACCGCCGCTCAGTTTGTTGTATTCAGTGCGCGCGATCCCTTTTGCTTTCACCTTCGTCATAGTAGATACATTTTATCTTGATCAGTTTTTTACCTACTCTGGTTGCACCATCGCATCACTAGTCGGTCCCTGAGAAGGCAACTCAATGGTGAAGGTGAAACCAGTTTAGAGAAATACGATTATCGTGAAACTTCAATTACCTGCGGCATCATGGGTGCATCCAAAGAGTCAATGTTTTTTGTCATTGCTTCAACTTCGTCCTCTTTTTTAAGCATGCCTACCATTGAAGCTATTTGTCCTGCAGACATTTTAACATCTCCGTGCCGTTCCATTAGCGCAATTACCTGTAAAAAAAAATCGCGTTTGACCAATATCACAGTCAGGAAGAGTGGGGCACAAAAGTTAAGGGACTGGCCCTGTCGATGGATTTAGCTGCTTCTTTTTCGAGCTACCTGCTACCACACTCATGTGCTCATTATCGAAAGCTAAAGAGGTCTAAAACAGCTGCACTCCGAAGACAGAATCAATCGCCACGAGCCGATATGCCATCCACAAGAGCCACACCCTTCCCTATCGCAAGATATATAAACTAGCCTCCCGTACCGATTCAACGACAGTTTCTATGCTCGGCCACTTACAGGAAATTTAAAAAAAAAACATGGCTTTGCTTGAACAAAAATCGCAGTGAAACAGGCTCCGCTAGTCGCACCCCTCGTTAAATGCCCCCTGGCTGCTCCACTTTCTTCACACTTAGGGGCGCGGCCGAGTCGACAGTGCCCGCGAACTGTGGGGTAAATTTGAAAACGCTATACCACCACAGTTCGCGGGCACTACCAACTCGGTCGCGCTCGCCTGTTGCCGCGCGCCAAAGTGTGAAGAAAGTGAGAAAGCCATGCTCCCTTGCTAAAACTGACTACCTTCTCCATGAAACGGCTAATATAAATCATCTGCTATAGCCCCATCCATCTATAGTCACCGTCTAAATTTAACTAAAGCATGGATGCTAAGCCAAATCTGTTTTTTAATCAGTAGTTTTCACAACTGAAAACACTATGACTTGACTGGCTGTCAAATGACAGGCACAAGTCGAACTTTGCTAGCGCGGTGCCAGCCGCACTCACGGATTGCGAAGTCTGACACCTGCCTTACCTGTCGTGCGCAACGACTAATGATGGGCGTTATATTTGAACCTTGTAGGTGTACCCTTTGACGACCGTGTGGCCCGCCGGTGGGCCACACCACTCGGAGGCGACTCGTTTTTCGTGATTTATTTGGCATTTTTAATGTTTCAAAACTACCCGTATACATTATCGGAATCGCAAAACAATGTGCTCATTACTAATAATGAAATTGTTGGAGTGTTAATGGATATTGATGAAAAAATTTAAAAAGAAGTGAAGCAATGCACGCACAACGGCGGTCGTCAAAGGGTTAAAAATGTAGGTTTAGATGAGTTTTACCTCTCTAAAAGCCGCGCCTCAAGGATAAACCTTCAACTGTAAAAGCTTTCCAAGCATTTTTAGAGTATCTGTGTAAGGTTTGCGATCCAAATAACTATCTTACAAGTAGTGAGGTCATGAGATGGCTGGCCAGAAGAAAACGGAACGCTGGCCCATCGGCCAGTTATCAAGAGAAAACACTTTTGAGTGATGGTACAACCTCAGCTATTCCTCAAGAGCCATGTTGCAAGTAAAGCCAGACAACAGAAAAATAAAAGCGTGAAATTTCAATATTAGCAAAATATCCGCGGACACTTCTCAGCTGTGCTCGCTGACAAAAGGAAGAGATCAGAGGTACTGTGGATAAAAGTAAAATATTCCGGTCGAAGAAAAAAATCTAATTTTTAAGATTCACCTCTAAAACGAGATCTGCATCAATAATACCATCTGCATCATGGTCAATGCTCAAAAGAAGCTGTTCGATTCGAGAGCGCCTTTCTTTCGCTTCCTGGGTATCTCCAGCAATCGCTGGACTGGCTTGTAGTTTGGTTAAAGCATCTACAAGATCTTGAACGCGCACTTGTTTTTCTCTGAAAACGTATTTGAATTATTTTGGGAGTGATGATATTGAAACTAATGAATTCAACACTTTAGAGAGGCAAAACCCTTTGTCTTTCACTTAATTTCGTAATTTTTGGAAGAAGGAGTAAGTAAGTGAGGACTAAAAACTCGAGTAAAACGACAATAGAATCTACTAATTGTACTGGAGATTTAACTGTGGATTTTATAAAAAAAGGAACTGAATAAATGTAAATCAGATCTATATAAAAGTTATAGTCCAGGTGCATAAGAATGCCTTCGACCGATTCGTAGTTTCTCTTGGTGACGTGTGCACATAGGCGGTCTAGCTCAAACTAACGCGTTCCTACCAAGAGTGAAGTGCTATATGAATGCTTTGGGTGTGGACGTAATATTGGCGCTTTTAGAGCATTAAGTTTTTTTCCCCTAATGAAACTCCGATACTATTATATTTCATTTGAAAACTCATTTCTAGCCGCTTTACACACCCATGATTGCACTTTTCCCCCGTCTATGACTCTGCGCATCGATATATGAGATGCTTAGAACTTCGATCCTGATCGACTCTCGCCTTCGCCATCCGAATTTGACCGCTCTCAAATACGTACACGAGTATATAACGCCGTGACTTTGAAAACGGGTTTCAACATCTTTTTTGTCCATTTTTTCTTATTAATGGTTCTTTTTGGAATGGTATCAAATGGAGTCGAACTGCTAAATAATCACGAAAAAAAGGAGCGATTAGTATTATATTTGGACTTATTGCTTTCCACATTTGTGCCGAACTCAAGCGCGATATTATGTTCCAACCCGATATGAAAATAACTTGTCAGCAAAAAAAAGCATATGGTACTGTTACGTGTTACTTCTCAACAGATATTTTCTGACGAACAAGCGGAATAGAAGTGAAACCTATAATCGAACTATCATGAAGGAATAGCCAAATTTTGGAAGAGTTGAAAGTGAAAGTGTAGGAGGCTACCGAGGGTGCTCAGCGGTCATGTGAGAAAGAAACTTCAGCGAAGGGACGCTTAAATTTGTTTCGAAACAGCTTGCTTTACTCATTTGCGTACCTTTTTGCCGCTACACTGTCAGGCATAGCAGGATCAATGATCGTTTCTTCTACCATCCTCTTTTCCTCTTCAATCTGCGAGACAAGCGTGTCGACGTTATCGATCATGGTGTTCAACCTATTCCGCAGACGTTGGGCAACCTTAGATTCCGAGAAAGCACTGTCCAGTGCTGTGATTTCAACAAGGTCCTAAACAGAGCAATCTTTAGCCAAATAAGCGACTACAAAGAAAGATGGACACTGTGAGAATTATATTCTTTTTTGAACAAGCCTAGGTTGAATTCGAAATAGAATTCACCTCGGTGTGCTCAATAGCCTTCTCCTTCAGTCCGAGTATGTCATGCTTGGCCTCATGTAGAGGTCCACCAACCAACAACTGTTCAATGGAGGAAAGGTCCTTAGCGTCGACCTAAACATCTATTAATCTGCTTTACTCCAAGATTATGAGTATCGGTCCACCACGATAAACCTAAATAGCGCATAAACAAATATGCAAAATAGAGCAAAAATCAAAAATTGATGTTAGAAAATCAATTCAAACTTTGCACAGTACCGTTGCTTCGGGAGCAGGTTTGCCGCCTTTCTCCGCAGGAGCAGCAATATCCACCGCCTCTTGAACAGCGCCAGCCAGATCTTTCTGGCGAATGATCACTGACAATAGGTTTCTGGTTTACTGGTTTCAGTTACGAAGAAAAGATCCTGAACAAAGACAACAGCACTTTTATGTGCGCTCCAAAACAGCGCTTCGGCGAACATAATGAGTCATCTCGATGTCTATTTGGCACCAATTCAAAATTCAAATTTCAAGTGCGAAGACGTTCGAGACATTTGCGGTCAACAGCCGCGCAAATACAACAAAGAACTGAGATTGTACTGGTTCGAAATCCTTTTTTGTCGTGTCGTGCATGATGAGCAAAAGGAGGGTTCAGAATGGCAAGAAGAGCTCGCAGCGACTTAGAGCGGCGCAATGGAATCAGGGCTATTTACTATCGTTAACAGCGACAGAAGCGCTCATTATAGATGACCAAAACCATCTGCGTGCCAGAATACATAAATACAACATAGACCAATCTAGTCGATTTATTTTCGTAATAACTTCGTATAGCATGTGTCAACAAGCTCGCCGGATACGAGCGTTGCACCAGCAAGTCGAACGATGTACCAGCGACTCGACATGTTTGAAAGTGGCGGGGTCCCTTCGAAGGATGGTTCTCGCCACTTCTCCAAGCTCACAAGGGCATGAGTGAAAGGGCATGAGAGCTCGGGAAAAGGCGAGTGTCAACGTGCAACTAAGGGCGAGTCCGCCCACCTTCAAGCAGTGTCGAATCGTTGGTACATCGTTTCGAACTGCTGGTACACAGCTCGATTCGCTCGCAAGCAGATCGCTGGATTCGCAAAGTCTGACATCGGCCTAAGCTCTGCATGTATCTGCTGTGTTCCTACAAATATACATTGAGCCGATTTCCCTCCGTTTACTTTGACTGCTAGGTTTTCTATTTTTAGTTGTTTTTAGCAATTTCTACACAATTGAAAGCGAACTAATCTACAAGCCCGCAAACTCTCGCACATCTTGATATATTGAGATTGTATATTTGCTCCAGCGTGAAGCTTACACTCGAGCAACAAAAGAAACTTTCTGCCAAAACAGCTTGTAGTCAATTTCGTGGAGCCCTTTGCTTGTGATCTAAATAAATATTTAGTGCCGAATTCATGCTCAGCCAAGCGATCCTGGGCCATTCCGGCTCGAACCGCACCTTCACCACATGTCTAACTGATTAAGTGAACAACTTAATCGGTTAGACATCTAACTCTACACTCATGCAACATCAGAAAAATTCTTCGCTCGCGCATAAGTTCTATTCTGAACATACACGCAAGCGTCACATATCACTTTGTGGGACAGATTGTGAGCTTTCGGACGGCAAACAAGAAAAATAATCGAAAAAAAGGTCCCACAGCCGTGAGCTAAAATAGAGGGCAGGAAATTCCTGATCAAAGCAACAACTCCCAATCGAATCGGTGGAATTAAAACGGTAGATAATGAAATTGTAGACGGCGAGCTGACTGTAAGAAAAAGAAAGAAAGAAAATGGCCGATAAAGCCTTTAAACGATGATTCCCTTCCCCCTTATAAAGAGAGGGTGTGGCCGGACGAGCTGCCCGAACTAGCTTTCTCTGGGCGTTTATTGCTGGCTCCGTGCCACAAGAAATACGGCTGCGACTGCATCTGCATCAACACAAACAAAAACATATACAGCAATGTAAACAAAGAAACTACGATGACTAAACGGCCTAGGCAACTAAAACCAAAATCAGGCAGCATTCCTTCTAACGCTGCCGCAGTTTCAGTCGGACAAGGAGCACGAAGCCAATCATGCGAACTTCTCGGCTAACAAATGGGCGTGTCGATAAAATGATGAACAGCACCAAATTGGCACCTATCCAACTTCTCATAACGGTTTCCTAAGGTGAGTTGTTGATTCAGCGACACTTCATGTGTTCTCGTCTAGAATCATACATCACTTCATTCCGTGAGTAGCAAAATATGAAACCGACTGGGGTTGTTGCTTCAACCAAACAACATAAGAGTGTGAAGTGTTTGTCTATCTGTGAACCTGTTTCCGTTAGTGGTCATATCAACCCAAAGAAAACCGGAGCATCACTCTAATAAGTGAAAATTTGTTCGGGAACACACATCATAGTGAACGGAGACCAAGCAAAAGAGGTAGGATGCGCGCTTATGCCTTCACTTAAACTGTAAATGGATTCCGGAGGCGAACACATAAATTTCCAGAAAGAAAAACAAGAAAAAAGGAGAAAATGGCGTCACAAATGGCTCAATCAACACAAAAGGTAAACAAAATAAAAAGCTAACGCGAACCTTCAAGGTATCGAAGGCCTCGGTTGCTGCAGTGACAGCTTTGGTGAGTTTCTCATGAGTTTCCGCTGATGCAGTTAAAACTTCTGCCGCAGCAACGCCAACATCAGCTTTAACTTTCTCAGTCTCTTCCACAAGAACTCGTTGTTTCTAAAATAATTTTGTATGAGTACCATTTGAAGAGTGCTGAGACAGGTTCTTTTGCAACTAATAGGAACTGTCAAAAGTAAAAACACCATTACTTGTCAGTTATTGAAGTCTGGGATGCTTTTACGCTAGGAATATATTTGGAGGAGTTTTGGCGTAAGCTCTGATCGCATCAGCAGGGTGCAGTGCTAAAATTCACTGAAACAAGTACTATTTCCAGAGTTATAGAGGTGCCGCTTACGCTGTGTGAACGGTTTTCCGAAAAAAAAAACGAGGAAAAACAGCGTAAGGATTCTCACGTGGCTGCAGATATTCACGACATCAGGGTAACTCTAATCTAAAAATCTCTTGGGAACTTTCAGTTACTCCTTGCTCGAAAGCATTATAAGGGAAGACCTTGCAAAATGTTCGTACCTCTTCTTCGCGTTTCTTCTCCTGTTCCATTGCTTTTTCTTTTGCTATTGCTTCTTCTATTTGTCTGAGAAGGTCCAGTCTCTCCTTGTAACCTACTTGTCCACCTTCCATTTCTGTCAATTTCTGCCGTGTACTTTCAGCGATGCCTAGAAAGAGATATAAAAAAAGCGGTGTATAACAACTACAAAATTCCGCTGATCATAAATGAAACACTATCCCATGGGCAAACCATGCCTCTCACCTTCGGGAAGACTTTGAACAAGCGATTTCAGTCTGTCAGTGAAAGAGATGTCCTCTGGAAGATAAAGGAGCTCTCGATAGAAGAAGCAGAGATGGTGGGACCTTGTCGCTGAGTGACAACTCCAACCACTGTTAAGCTGAAAGAATTGTGGAAATTATTTGAGAAATGCAGGCGCGAAAAGAGCTTTTGAATATGAAAAATCCAAACAATGAGAGCCGATCTTTGTTTACTTTGACTACTATTCAAGTGAAAATTCGGCGTACTTTAAAAATCTCAGAGACTTCTCTCTGAACAGATATGTGACGAAGTCCTTTGAGCCTTCAACTGTAGAAAATGCGAAGACATCAACACACCTGATCTCGAAGACGCTCTTCACTCAAACCGGCAGCACGCATCCCTCTAGCTCGACAAGCTTGTTGTAAGTCAATTGTGTTCAAAGCGTCAACGCCGCCTTCCGCTGTTATTTGCTGAAAATCGAGAGTCTTATCTTAGCATAGAGAATTAAGCAAAATGCCCTTAAAACTAGTGACGCTAGACCTTGTCATCGGCTTTCAATTCTCGCAGCTTCATGTGGAGTTGAAAGCGGAGGATCTCTGGACTTCCAAGAGGTTGGATGGACATCAATCGACATAAAGACCTAGAATACGACACACCTACAACTTGAGTCTTTCAGAAACAACAACACACAATAGTGTGTCAAGATTCACTGCAAATGCTTGTAAAGGTCGAAAGCAAGGATTACTACGCCATGAAGTTCATAATGCACCATGACGACTACCAACAGCTTGTACAGCGCGTTTTTGTTTTGGCCGCGCAGGATAAGCGGCTCAATTGATGATAACTTCTTTACACTCAACGATGATTATAATTGTCACAACTTTACAGTCACGATGATTATTTGTCACAACATTCGGCACTACCAAAAAAAAGTCAGCCGGTGAGGGTGAACCTAGTTAGAAGAGGGTGGGGACTGGCAGATGCACGAGGCACACGCGAATCTAAACGGAGGCTCGTCCACGGTGAGTGGCGCATAGCAAATGAGTGTGCTTACTACAAAAATTCAAAGCTTCTGAAACGGTCCAGAGACCAGAAGAATGATAGACAAGCCAAAGAAGAGTCAAATATTTACAGTGCTAGATAAATCTAGCCTGAAACTCATTTGCTTCACCAAATTTGCAAGCCTGTGTAAAGCACGCGACAGTGTGAGTAGCCACTGATAATTCACAAAATGCAATGAATCTACTGAAACATACCGTAACTGGCTCATGCTAAGATTATCTAAGGTTAGCTCGTCCTCAAAAAGTTTCGAAAACTTGAAGAGTTCTTCATTGGACACATATCCACCTTCAGAACGAATCTGAAACACGCATTCACAACAAAGCCATATAAACATGCAATTATCATTTTACAATGACCTTCTTGATAAACTGAGCAAACTCCAATGCTTTGGAGCCTTTTGCTTCGGTAGCTTTCGATCTTCGCTCGAGTGCTATCTCCTCAATGGTGTCTTGCAGGAATTTCGCCATTTCAACCTTCACCTTCACCTGTTTTCGAAGTTTCTCTTCCTAAAAACACATAGTGAGCCAATCAGTACTTTTGCGCCACACCAATCTGTGATGTTACCATGAGTTTTTGGCGTTTTAAGGGCCGAGTTATACTTCGCACTTCAAGTATGGAATAGATCGCGCCATCGTATCGATCGTGCTATAGGGCGTATGCATGATCTCCTTCGCTCGATACTTACCTATTCCACACTCGAACTGCAAAACTGGCAGCCAAATATGACTCAATCCCAGAGCCGTGGTCTTCATTCGCAACCTTGCGATCCTACGATTTCGCAATAGTTAAAGGGGTAGGTGTCGAGCATGTGATCCCATGATCACGCGATCACTGGTTGATGCAGATTTCCTCTACATGAAGCGAAAAGAACTGGGCAATGGGCGCAAGCATGACCGCAGCCAAACTAGTAAGGTGTTCGTCAATTGCGTAAATACTGTGATATCGTGATTCCTATTTTCCCTCTATATTGCTGCTAACGCTGGAGCTATACCGATAACGCATATTCCAAGCAGATACGTAAATGATCAGTCAAGCAGGCCCTCCATGGCACCACACCTGGTTGACATTTAAGCTGCGCATAGTAAGTGACGTTGACCACACCCTAACATCCCGTAATAACATTTCAAATTTTAAAATCTCACCTCCTTACTGCTCTCCTGGAAAGTACTAGGAAGCATATTCGGGAACAACTTGATGAAGATAGGAAGTGCAAGCTCCATAAAAGGCACTATGATGAATATAGAGAAAGGAACAAGACGGAACAGATCAGATACGGTACGAACCTGGAATTGGAATAGAAATGTGATTTTGAACCTCTTATCATATAATATCAGTTCTCAGCGATATCTGCGCAGCGCTGACTTACGGGATGAGTGGGATGATGAAGTCAAGCATGAAAGCAAGGGTTCAGCTTAACGCGGAAAAAAGATCAACTTATGTTTGGACAACATATGCTATTAAGCGGCATCTCACTTTATTCCTGGTATTTATTTTGCTGCCTGGCCATACAAACTAGAAGGATTGAAAATAATCACTTGCTTGAATTTGTCTTGGAATCTAAGTTCAATAGTTGAGCAGTCTCAAGAATGGACTTGAGAACAACTGTTACAGCTGATGCTTCCGAAGAACTTTAACTTGGTTGCTTTATGTTTGATTTGAGAATGCACGCATCTAATCTTGTGCTACAGAACATGCTTCCAAATTCTCGAACCGATGAAACACTGGTGAAGATGTAATGAGTACAACGCAGGTGCACTCCAGTATTCAATTCACACCATGCGCTCATCTGACTGTTATTGGCAGGAAACACCTATTTAAACCAAAAAAATTAGATGCAGATATAAACGAACCAACTGCTGACGTTCCCTTCGATTAAGAGTGTCGCCGCGAAGTAGGCGCCACATATACTTGGCACTTAATTTGGTTTCAAGCGCTAGCAGCCGAAAGCCGTGGTAATAGTGCTTTAGTTCGTGCACAATCTTTTGCATGATAGTGGTCTTCTTTTCTGCAGCTGAAGTGGCAGGAATCTGAAAGAAATGAGAAATTGCTCTTAGCACAAGTTCAACACTTACTCTGCACTTCAATTCTCAGAGTCTAGATCAGAGGAGCAACCGACTGCATCCAAACCACTGTTGGTGAATTACCTGTATATCGATCATGACTACAGATTATAGCCACCTTGGTCAACACCTCCTTGGGATTTTTCCGACGTGAAGGTCGTATTAGGATGCAAAACAGTATCGTAGGTCTTACATTCGACTCAAACGTTTGAAGCAAAAAATAAAAACGTAAAACTAATCACTGATCTTTTTTTGTCATCACTTACAACTTTGCTTCCTTCAACTTTGCTTCCTTCGCAACTTTTCAAACCCATATCAACGGATAAAGAATAAAACAAAGAATAAGCCTATTCTTACAAGTTCTCAATTTTCATTCTGCACGACATAAACATGGCTTTGAATTGGGAAAAAGGTAGGATCGACTGAGGTAAATTCAGCAGCATTTCGAGTCAGGTGGCATTTGAGCGGACTTTGTCAACATCGACCGTTCGAGAAAATGGCGGTCTTATTTATCCAACCACAGAACATCTTTTTACTACCTTTGAATAGGTGAACCAGTGATAGACGGCCCTGGTTCGAGTCCCGCACAAAAATTTTGGCGGACTTGTCTGTCTACCCGCAAGGAATGTATTAGGTTGTCCCATTAGTAGTGTCGCTTTTTTCAAACTAAAAATTTTCTTCTAAATCCGCTAGTTTTTGCATTAGGTCACATATCGTTTGAAAGAGAAAACTCGTTTTAGCTTCCACGTTAATTGCAGGACTTTTGAATTTTAGACTGCAAAATGGGAGGTCCATTCGACGAAAAATAGCCAAACCGACAACAAGCCCTAACTCTATGTTCCTCTAGGAAGAATCAATGAACGATTGACCATCAGCTTAGACACAGCCTCCTCTATACATTCCGCTATTATTGGGTTGGAGCGTAATATCGTAGCGTTTTTCTTTTCGAGCTACGAATTCAGTGAATACAAGTATTACCCAGGAAATCACATATCATTTGAAAGTACTTCTTCTGCTCTACAATACCATGTTTGGCATTTTCTTCTATACTGTAAGTGTACTCAGATATGGCGCTTAGAAGTTGGAGAATCAAGGTGGGCGAAAATCTATAGAGAAAAAGCTGCCAAAATAGGAGTTTTTCGGAATCCATCGTCATCATCGAACCTTACTTCGACCCTTAATTTCAAATCATATTCACGTCGTACAAATTGAGAATAATGAGGATTCTGAAAACGGGCTCAGTACCCTTTTTTGATTTCTAAACCCGGTAATTTCTTGCGAAATGGAACCAAAGTCGTAAATAATGACGAGAAGAACATCACTGATCAGTTTTATGCTTGGCTTTGCTTTTGGGTTTTGCTTTAAACGTTTTTGCCAAATGCGAGCGCTACGATATTATGCTCCGACCCAATAGGTTTGCCAACAAATCGCGTTGTTCCTTTTCCAGACTTGGTTTTTAAACCAGAACTTGACGGTAAGCACCGTTTCATGAAACTAAGTCAAAAATTTTGGCTCCCCCACTTTCTTCACGATTTGGGGCGCGGCCGCGGCGAGCGCGGACGAGTCGATAGTGCCCGCGAACTGTGGTGGTGAGCGTTTTCAAATTTACCCACACAGTTCGCGGGCACTATCGACTCGGCCGCGCCCCAAATCGTGAAGAAAGTGGGGGAGCCAAAAATTTTTGCAGCCGAGACATTGAAAAACTAGTGGAATTGTTAAGAACAAGTCATGACTAAGTTAGGAATGTACGCCTGGTTGATTTTCTCATCTTCTCAGGATAATTTTTTTCAAAGAAATGCGGTCACTTTCGTGGACAAAACACCTTATCCTAAACACCTAAAATTCGAACTAATTCCTAACAAACATAAAAACAAAACAAATGAGCGAATAGAGCAGAAGAAGTGCTCACAAAAGATACACCACTGATATAAAACAATGGCGTTTCAGAGGAAGAATTTCAATTTGAAAATTGCTATGGCTTATCGGTCAGCCAATTCGAAAAGAAACACGGCAAAGCTTTTTCGGCAACCTAAGAGTGGAATGTTCAGAAGAGGTCATGAGTAAGTAGAGGGTACATCATTGATTGATTTCTACCGAGGTAAGCAAACCAGCCCTTTTGGCGTTTCGGCTGGGACCGTATGCTGAATGTTGGGGAGGGGATGGGGTCCCCAACGGTCGACGGTTTACTTCAACTCGGTTGGTACGATAGGAGAGTACTGACGCAAGTGGTGCAGCTGGTCCAGCAGCTCCGCCAGAAGGGCTGGTTTGCTCACCCCAGGACTAAGCCTTGGAGAGGGGACGGACCCGTCCTCTCTTTAAGGCTTAGTTCTGAGGTAAGCACCAAATTGTGGCGGTTCTAAGGACCGAGTTGAAGTGGTCCGTCCACCGTCGGGGACCCGAAGAGCGATGAGTAACACCTGGGGATTCCATCCCCTCCCCAAACATTCAGCATAAGGTCCCAGGCCGAAAGCGCCAAAAAGGGCTGGTTTCAACTTTCTAATCGATACGAGCAGATATGAGCTAAAAAACAAAACAAATTGAGCGTAAAAGAGCAGAAGACGCTCTCAAGGATACCGTTGCAAAAGAGTCGAGAATGAAGCACGAGTAGCGATTATAATATATCAGGTGAGCATCTCTAGAGAGAGACAAGCTAGAGAGCCATTGTAAAAACGCACGTCCGTGTTCATTTTAATCGTCTGGTCAAAACTTGAGATGTCTAATCCTGAGAGTAAGGTGAGCACTCATTCATGTTTGTAAAAGAATAGGATTTAGTCGTTTTCCATCACAACATTGGTTTTTCTGGGAAAATAATATGCTACCGCTAGCATTTGCAAATCGCCCGCGCACAGACAAGAATGCACTTACGCTGGGCACCCGCACTGTCGGACCGCCCGTCCTCCCAGAAAAACCAATTTCGAAAAAAGAAATTAACGCAGCAAAAACTTATTTTCGCCAACTTGAACTACGCGAAAAGTCGTTCAGCCAAGAGGTCCCTGAGTAGGTGAAGGGGCATAATAGTCAATTGATTCTTCTCAACAAGTAAAATGGGAGTCAGAGAGCGGTTGTCGGTTTTGGGCTAATTTTCGGTCGGCTGAATTTTCGCCCCAAGCCGCTAACCTTTAAAGACCCTGTTACAAATGTGGAATAAGAACAAAGTTAATTGTAGAGCGGACAATTCTCTTTCGAATTGTATGACATGGTGTAAAAACTTGGGGATTCAGAAGAAAATTTTATCTTTGAAAAAGACCGACACTACTAATGGGACAACCTAATATTTATTCTTTGAGTCAGTTGACGGTTACGGGGCAGCGGTCAACCAACGTGTGCGAGTCCAGACAGAAAAGCGCATTGCTGGGACTAAGCCTTTCGAAGGAAGGAAAGAAAGCAGAGATGCTGTAATAGTGTGCGTGTGCGAGAGTCCCAGAGAACACTACAAAACGCTGAATCACCAAGCCTTCCGGTTGACCACTTGCCCTTAAACGTTGCTCGGAAGAGTACATGGTGAGCGAGTGACCCTCCTAGGCGGTGCGTTGGTCTAGACTATCCAACATGTGTTTCACATGTGGTTAATCGCCTAACAGTGGAACAATGATGCAATGAGTTGCGAGGAATGCGCGAGAGATGGGATCGTATGAGGATTGATGTCCTAAGCTGGAGGTTCTAAAAGTTTTGAACTCGGCGCAACGTGACGGTTGACTCTGTCTAGAAGCCACCTCCTTCATCAATTCAATCTTCAAGTACCATTTCTCGATTTGAGGCCGCTTCATACAATGACAAGCCCAACTCAAGAGCCAAACGTACAAAGCCCAGCCCATTTGCTGCCTTTAGATGTCGGTCAGACTCTGCGATTGCATCGCGCGATGCAGTCGCTCTTGCAATGTGCACAAGCGACGGGCGATTGGCCCCGCCCACATCGATGCAGTCGACATCGGTATCGATCGCGGCGGGCCATTGCCCGCCCCGCACTTTGCACTTTTGGCAGAGC